CCATTATGAATTTTGAAAATCTAACATCAGATTCGAAATCAGCGACCTCAAAAACCTCTAAACACCCAGTTTCATATAAATCTATAAATTTAAAAAAAAATCGTATACCACCAAAAATGTGAAATGTTTTTTGAGGTTAGGAAGAAACGTACACGTGCAGGAGCAAAACGGACTGCAGATTCGTGCGTTCAGCGGCCCGAAATACATGGGGATAGGATACTTTGTTCTCCCAACCTGGGCTTTTTTTTTTGTGGGTTTGGTATTTGTGTCAATTAATTGGTATTTGTTTGAAATACAGGAATTATTGGTCCAAATTATAGTTTATTTAATTCAAATAAAAATTATTTGCTTCAAGTAAATATTTATTTGATAATAATGAAGTACCACAAAATGTTTTTTTTTTTGCTCTTTTTAGCAGAGAAATGCCTAAATAATAAGAAGAAAAGAAATTAATTTAAGTAAGAGAACTCTTGGTTTTCGAAAAATAATTTCTCCTTTTGAAGATAACTTTCCTGAAGTCCTTTAGATAAAATTAGATAACAGAAATAAAGTTTCAAGAAATATTCATATCTACTTCTCGTGACGCTTATATTTAAAAGTGTTTAAGGACCATAACGTAAAGGGGCACCTAATAGAAGCTCAAACTCATTGGATTCTTCGTGCCTGAAGGAATATGCATAGCAGTCGAAAACGCATCCATATGAGAAGGCCAGAAAGATAGAAAGGTGAACACACCGTGAGAAGGCCTATACTCTAAAAGTAGAAAAAAAGATTGACGAAAAGAATGATAAGTGGTAAAGATATTTCTACAGCAGCGAAAAAAAGAAGGACCTCTATATACGCGATCAAAACGTGCAGAGAGAGTGAGAGTGATAGTGTGTGCCGGGAGGAGATGAGCACGGCAAGGAATCACTGATTGCCATCGCTTTGCCGCGCAGCCAAGGTGGCTAAATGATATTCTTCAAGTGCAGAAAAAAAGACGAGAGGATTTTTGTTAGACGCAAATAAATATCGTCTGCTAAACTGGCATTTAAGAGACACGTTCCCACACAACGTCAAGTAGCTCACTTCTGTCCTCGTTTATAAACCTATACACCTTCCTTGGATTTAATGCTAATTTTCCCTCTCTTAGACTGAATTAGAGAAATTGCAATTTTATTCCTACTACATATACCATTCATTCACATCTTTTTTTTCATTATGTTTAAAATTTTGTTAAACAATAAGTTTGCTGTGGCACCAAACTTTTTGTTGCCACAGCAAATTTTATTTACCCGCCACAGAAAAAATGCAAAAAACTAAAAAAAATTAATACACACTGTAAATATTACTTCTTTATCACACTAAAATTCACTTATTTAAAATGTTAATTGTATTAAAATTTCAATTGATTTAAAAAATTTAATTTTTTTCTAAGCAGATTAATTAATTAATCAAAAACATTAAATTGTTTTTACTGGCAATGTTTTTTTTAATCATATTTATTACCCGTTAAAAATTAGTTAAATAATTGATTTTTAAAAAATTAAATTTTTTCTAAAGCTGAAATTTTAATATCATAATTGAATTTTATTGTTAATAAATTAACAGAGTGAATGAATGCATTAAAAAAAATTGTATTTAAAATAAGCAGTGATAAACGACTAAAAGACTAAAAATTATTATAATAATAAATATTTAAACTGATTTTAAAAAATTCGAGTTATTATTGTTAATTATTTGATTAGTTTGAAAAATAATTATTAGTTTCAAAATATTGATATTTAAAAAAAATAACTTTTCTTCTACATCGTTGCGATCATATATAATCTATATATCCAATTGGCTTCACCGACGTATTCAATTGACCAATTTAAAAACAGAAAAATAAAAAACTAATAAAAATAGTTTTTTTCTTCTTAAAAAATATTTAAAAATAAATTTTGTTTCAAAAAATGTTTCTTTAAAAAAAAATTTTCAATTGTTAATTTTTATAAAATGTTAATAAACGAATGTGATTAATTAAAAAGTTATTTAATAAAAATTGTTTAATTACATAATTGTGCAATTAGCGCTGATGAGGGCTAAATAGCCGAAACATGTTGTAACAACTTTATGTCAAACAATAAATAAACATCTTAACTGTAAAAGGCCTCTAAACATCATTAACAAATTTATAATAAAAACAGTTTGAAAGAAATCTAACATAATAAAAATTATTGTTGTTTTATTTTATTTTATTATAATAATGTAACATAGATATAGATATATTATATCTTTTTACATGAGGTTATATCTATTCATTTAAACAGAAAGCTCTTAATTTTACTAAACCTTTTACAAAATAAATTATTGTTATTATTCAACTATTATTTAAATAAATAATAATCGTTATTAAATAACTTTTTTTCTCAACAATTTTATAGTCAGAAATGTGTGCGGAATAAAAATTTTTTTTTAAATTTTACATGGGAAATGATGAGCACATTTTTTTATTAATATTTTATAAATAAACAATTTTAAAAATAATTTAAAATAAATATTCTTTTTAAAAAAATATATTTTTTTGAATACAGTTCCAAGACCAGAAAAACATTTTTTATTTTTAAATTGGCCAATTGATGCTCGAGAAATTATTTTTTTATTTACAACTAAAAGTTTCAATTGTTATTAAAAAAAAAAAAATTTTTTTTTTTTATCTAATATTTTTAGAAACTCATATTTTTATCACAGGAGAGAGAAAAAAGATTTAATTTTACAAAATATTAGGTAATCCGTTTGAGAAATTTTAACTCAATGTTATTTAAAAAAAAAAATGAATAAGAATTCAAGATTTAAGAAAAATATCAAGGTTAATTTATGGATTTTTCAATTATAGGCCACCACCTATAAATAAAATAGAAAATCGTATAAGCAAAAATGTAATTTCTTGACGTATTGATGAGTCACGAACGAGTGAATGTCACGCGGCGCGCATATAATACAAACAGAAGGCATAGATTAGAGAGCTATCTAATTACAGGTATGCATAATGAGAAAGATCCGTCTCTCTCTCTGTTTTTCTCTTGTAGTCGAATAAGAGGAATAAACTTTGAGCTGAGAGACCCGATGGTAGCGCTACAGGAGTGGCTTCGCATGTCGGATTCATGGAGATGAGCGGCCGCGGAATGGAAGCAGAGAGAGGGGGTGGTGTGGGGTGGTTAAGAATCGGGCGGGAGGACCGTGGGCCCATCTCGTGAGGTGGCGCGCGCGGCGCGGGGACTCGACAGGGCCCGCTGCTCCTGGACCACCCAAGACGAAATTTACTACAGTTTGTTCGCTCGTTTCTCTGCGCTTCTTGAGAGCCTCTCTTATTCTCAAAGGGTTACCCGGTGCCTCTGTCTTATATCGCAGTAACGAGCGAATCCAACTCACGCTAGGCGCGGAAACTTGGGAAGAGAAGCAGATCAACGCGACCGATATCGCTTTTTGTCAGTAGATCGAGCCTGAAATATTTGCACTAATTCTGTCTCTGGTATCCCGAATATTTTTCGGTTCGAGAAGCCTGATTTAATAGATCGTAAACCAGTGATCCTCCATAGCACTGATTCTGATAAAAGACACGGAGGATCTTGCCGCGCGATGATCATCACTCTTCTTTTTCCAAACGGTCTTTGTTAATTGGATTTCCACTTATTTTATTGAACGAAAAGCGAAAATATGTTTATTAGGTTTTTTTTTTCTTTTTGGCATCTATATGGGACATTCTTTGTGAGATTTTCATTCAAACTTTTTTTGGATTGAAACAATTTTTTTCGAATTCTATATATTGGAAAAAAAAGATGTAGGTGATTTTTTAATTTTTTTATTCGAATTCAGGGTTGCTACGCTTTCTCGAAACCTGTAAAAGTCAGGGAAAAAGTATAAAATACGTGGAAAAAAATTAAATAAAAAAAACGACACGTATATGTCTTTTTTCCCCATATAGAATTCGAAAAGAATTGTTTTAATCAAAAAAAAATTTTTGAATGAAATTAAGTAAAAATTTTTTTAATAAAGATTTTTCTTGATACTGCACGAAAAGAAAATAAATATCAAATTTTATAAAAGCATTTTCAAATTTTGTAAAAGTATTTTCAAGTCATGGAAAATATTGTAAGAAAGCGAAATTTTCATATATGAAATACTAATCTTTAATAAACTTTTATGAAATTTACTATAGTTATAATAAAATTTGGTAGAATGTATTTGATTCATTATTAAATGATAGTATATTTTATTATATCTACAGTAAATTTCATAAAAGTTTATTAAAGATTAGTATTTCTTATATGGAAGTTTCGCTTTTCATACTATTTTCCACGACTTGAAAATACTTTTACAAAATTTGATATTTATTTTCTTTCCGTGTGTAGAAATATTCCCTCAATATATTAGCAAAAAATATTTCTTTGATGAGAAACAATTTTCTTTAGTGCCAAAGGAATTTTTTACTTTACTAAATTGAAAAAGCAATTTAAAAAAATAATTTTGTATCTATGTGTAAGAAATTTTTATATAATAATAAAATATAAGAGATTTTTTATTCGTACTTTAAGAAAAAATTATCAAAAAATATTTTTTTGATATATGTATAACAGAAATTTAAAAATCCACTTTAGATCTGACAGTAAATTACGTCGATGCAAAGTTCACGTTTATATAATCAATAATTTAGAAAAAAATAACTTTCTGTGCAAATTTTTAAAATAATTTGGTTTAAATAAAATTGTTGAGAACGTTTCATGATCGTAACTATTTTTGGAAAAAAAATTTGTAGGCAAAAAATTAATTATTTTCCTAATGAAAAATTTTTTTTCAATCTTAAATTATAAACGTTGTGAAATGAGCATATATGGACATTATAAAATATAATTTTGTAAATTGTAATTTCACAATTTTAACCTTTAAGTTAATGCTTAATTTCAATAATATTGATGTATTATATATAAAAAATAAGGAACAATTTACATTAGTAATGTCGATATAAAAAAGGAACTCACCTATCGTTGATATTCGCGACGAAATATGATGCTGTATTCGGGAAGTTTTTAGCTCGTCAACTTTTCTTTTTACCCTTTTATTTGTCCTTCAATCTAAAAAAAATAAAAAAATATAATTTACAACACCATTTTGTTGTGATTTTACAATATTTTTAATTATATAATACTTTAAAAAATTCGTCCACTTTTGCAGTATAATTAAAGTGTAAACATTTTTATAACCTCAAAATTTCTATATGTTAATTCGCTCACGGCACAAAAATTTAACGTCGATCACTATTCCAAAGGAAATGCATTTTATATATATTTGCTGTCCACAAAATCGAGAAAAATTGATATTAGAATTAGAGTAAGAAATTAATTTCGTTTTCAAAATAAATTGCATTGTATAGTCGCTTGACATGATACACGCACATGGCCGACTTTTAATATACGTACACATTCACATTTGCGACTTTCATTTTTTCTACTATAAAAACACAATAATGTTAATTATTAAAATTTGATAACTTTGATGATTATTCGATGACAGCATATCAGCTTCTCAGTTTGATATTTGTTTTTGGAATCTCTTATAATCAACTCAATTCAGGTTATTCAATCTTGTCCTCAATAAGTCGTTTGAAAAAAACTGAATATTTTGTTTTTTAATTGATAAATTTCTAATAAAAACTATCTCCAAATATTATTACTGTTGCACATATATGTATAAATCACACATCAATAATTAATTATCTGACTACGTAAATTGAAACTGTTTTAATAAAAATGATAAAAGTGAATCAAACTCCACATCAGACCAGTGACGTCACTATATGCATATATAGAACATATAGACCATTTTTCACTAACCAAAAAAATTCTAAGGGTGCTATTGCAAGGATTTTTTTATTGCAAAGTAACAAAGTTACGTGATTGGTGGAATATATTACTAGACAAATATTCATGTTGGAATAGACCAATCAATACAATTCATTAAGTTATAATATTAAATCATATGTGGGGCGACCGGAATGGCGGAATGTGACTTTTGCATCAAGGAACAAGAGCATGGTATATTCCACATTAAATGGCGCATGTAATTGTAGAATGTACCATTAAAGCATTAATGTGACAAAAAGACTTTACATATGTCGAAAAAGGTTTTTTTTTTAGTTAATATCAGTACAAGTGCGCGCGTAATTATTGCAACAATCAAAAAGTTTAATAAAACAAGTGATTATAAATGAACAGATATAATAATAATCAGTAAAAATTTCTCAACAGTGCCAAGTGTCTTTCGTATTTTAATAACGTAAGTTGATTCGAAAATTTTTTAAATCGCTAAAAAATAATTTATAGATTTTTTCATGAATTTTGAGGTTAAGTGAAACTCGATAGACCTTTTGCAAAATTTTAATTCTCTTAGGCGTTCTAATTGGATTTTTAAAAGTCTTACTTCAATTATTAGGAGAATATAATGAAAAGTATACGACAATTGAGCGTGTTTAATATACAATAATTGGATGAGCGATTGAGCGCTCGAACGCACTCTCTGATGGTAGTCGGGTATCAGTGGGAGAACCACTGCCGCTCACTGATACCCGACTACCATCAAAGCGTGTGAGTCCGATTATTGCATTGACGCTCTCAATTTTCTTGTTGCTCCATAGATGCAGCATAAGTTTATATATACAAAAGTGATTGTGAATGACCTGAACCTCAAAATTCAATAGATAAATATATTCAGAGCTTTTTTCTTCAACTATATTAATAAAAGTATTAAAATAAACGACGTGGAAAACAGTGAACTTGAAATATTTTTGCTCGCGCGTCATACAGAATTTTGAGGTTACGCCGCCATTTTATACTAAAACTTTTTTTCAGAGATTTTTTTCATTGTTGGTGATATATTCCTGAATCAGAAATGATCTCCTAGGATCAATTTGGAAATTGATAACAAAGTGGATGCAGAATTCTGTAAGTTTGTGAATTATTTACTGGATAATATATACTTTTATTTGTTTTTTTAATTGGAAAAAAATTAAGTGTAATTTTTTTAAGTCCTTTAGCTATTACGATAATATATTAACCTTAAAATTGTAGACAAAATATTTTCAATTTTTAATATGAAGGAATTAATTTTATTTTATAAATAATAATAAAAATTATGATTTTATAAGAAAATAAATAACTGACAGTTCGTTTCACAAGGATGAGAAAATATGATATTTAATAAACATAAAAAAATAATTTTTAATCGCGTATATAATTTCAAGAATTTCTCTTTTTGTATATATAAAACTGTTATTTAAAGTTCAGGCTAAATCAAACATCAGGGTTAATAATTTAATTTTTTTTTAAATTTTGTAACAATTATTTTTTCCAAAAGCTAACGTGCATTTTTATTTACAGATTTGTAATTTTTTTACATCTATTCAAAGAAAAATTTTTAATACTTTTTTTATAAAAAAAAATTTCGAACAGAGAATAAAAATTTTACTCACGTTATTGTATTTATATATATATATGCACTAAAAAAATTGACTATTATCAAATCAATATTTATTTGAGACAAATAATTTGTATTTGAATAAATGAAACTGTATTTGAAATAATAATTTTTGTATTTGAAACATATTATAATTTAATTAACTTAAATAATAATTATTTAATACAAATAAATATTTATTTGAGACAAATAATTTGTATTTGAATAAATTAAACTATGCATTTGAAATAATAATTTTTGTATTTGAAACATATTATAATTTAATTAACTTAAATAATAATTATTTAATACAAATAAATATTTATTTGAGACAAATAATTTGTATTTGAATAAATTAAACTGCATTTGAAATAATAATTTTTGTATTTGAAACAATTTTTGAACTAATAATTTTTTTATTTGAAACAATGCGAATCTGAAGTACGCAACGTTTATGATAAACGATTTTTAAAGAAATAATTTTTTAAAATGGAAAATTATATAATTTTTTGCCTAAAAAGTATTTCTTGTAGTTTTCATTAATCAGCAAATTAAAAAAAAATATTTTTTAGACAAAAGATTATAAAATTTTTCATTTTAAAAAATTATTTCTTTAAAAATCGTTTATCATAAACGTTGCGTACTTCAGTTTCGTTGAAACAATTATAATTTAATTGGCTTAAATAAAAATTATTTAATACAAATAATTATTTATTTGATACAATAGTAAAGTAACTGTTTATTTTAATCAAATAAATTTTTTTTCAGTGCGTATATGAATTCTATTTAGAATTCAAATTTTTTTGAACGTACTTTGGAAAAATAAAATTAAAGCAAATCAATTTTTAATAAAAAATTCAAATTTGGTACAATTATTATTTATTAATTAACAGAGTATTTATAATAAATGAGGCAATAAATTTAATAAATAGATAAATTATAAATTCATATTAAATAATAATTGTTTTAGACAATAAAATTTATACTATAATTTTGTAATACATTTTTTTAGTTCATGCGCCGAGATATAACTTATGAAGGAAAGCGATTTCTGTGCATATTTGACGTATTTTTCAAAATAATGTCCTATTTGAAAAAAAAAAAAAAAAAAATAAGATGAGGAAATCTTCGAGAGTTGTCCCCGAAGTTATCAATTTTAGCCCATGGGAATTCGTAATTGGTGAGTCATTTTATTTAATCTCTTTTCTGTTTATTAATAGAATTTTATTAAAAAACTATATATATATATATTTAATGCTGATTAATATTTTTTTGAATTCGTTAATACCGGGTTTTTTATTAGTATACGTGCGGATTTAGGCGCAAATCTTGCAGACTAAATTCGTGTTCTTCGCACGACGAAGAGACGTCGAGATATGCGCGAGTATGTTTAATTAATTGACAGAAGAATATTCTCAAGGGTTGGTCGATGGCGAGAGCAAGATAGAGAGAAAGCAAGAGAGAGAAAATGAATTAAAAAAACAGTAGAATGAGAGAAAGCAAGAAAGAAGACGCGGAGGCACATAAGAATCAGCAAGTAAATCGAAGCAGAGCATCGAGAATTGACCCTTAGGTTTTGCGGCCGTCTTCAAGTTGGTGCTTGTATGTAATGTGTACCTCTATATATACTTTGGTACCTACCTGCTGGGAGATGTGTACGAAGACCAAGGGCTGCCGAGCGTTGAAATACGATTATGGACGAATCGCGTGATTAATACGTACGAGCTACACGTATATAAACATATACACATCAGTCGCAGTATGTACACATACATATATATATATGGTTTACGCAGAAGAATATCGCAGCCTTTCGACTTGAACCAGCTTACATGGCTGCATTCGTGAGAGAGAGATATTTCATTCGGTGTCTCCTCCACCTCCCCATATCCTCAAGACTCGCTTATCTCGTCGTCGAGGGTTGTCAGCCTTGAAGAGCTCTCGGTAGCCTCCTATGATGGTCAATCACACGTATATATATATATATATATATACAGATTCCGTGCATCTTCACTCCACTACTGTAACACTTTTTCAGAAATTGTTCAATTCAAAATTATTTGCCTCATTCTTTTTACAGTTTTGCAATTCGTTTACTTTTTTTCTGAATTTCTTTTACTACCTGGTATAAACTGAAAAAAAAATTTATTTGATTCAAATAATCAATTGGCTATTATCAAATAAATATATTTATTTGGACCAAATAATTTTTATTTGAATTAATAAAATCTGTATTTAAAATAAATATATTTTAATTGACTTAAATAATAATTATTTGATATAAATAAATATTTATTTGATAATAGTCGCAAGTAACCATCAAATAAAATTTTTTTCCAGTAATACCATATATGTTCATATTCCTTTCGTTTTCTGTTTTTTCTTCTCTTGATTATATGAGGCATTTATCATATGAGAATACGGGGTCATGTCTCGGATTTTTCTCAAAATTCGGTAAATTGTAGTAATAGTGGTGCTAAATAAGTGTACAAATTTTGAATTTGAAATTTTCTAATATTTTTCGAGATATTTACAATAACAAATTTGAGCAATATTTTTTTGCTTTACTTATAACTTTTTTCCTATTAAAAATAGAAAAAAATGTTGTAAATGTTTTTTATGCGGAAGATCTTAAACTTTTAGAAAAAAATTATTTTTTTAAAAAAATATTAATTTTTAAACAATTTGTTTAAAAAATAAAATTTGTTTATAACTTTTAACCATGTTCTTCCTCATTTAGAAACGCGAAAAAAATCAGGAATATTGTTTAAGTCATAATAAATCGATGGTTAAATTTTTGAGATGGCATTGTTTTTTGTTTTCGAGATATTAATTAATTAACTAACAAAAATTAATAAAAATATTAAATATTTTACGAAAAAATAAAATTAGAGTAATTTTAAAAACACCATTAGAATACTTATCATAATCCGCATCCAACGAGCCCTATATGAACTATTTCTAATAAACGGGTGTTAAATTCATAATTAATAATAAAAATTATTTAAATAATTAATAACATTTGAAGAAATGAAGATAAATCGTCAATTATAAATAAATAAATAAATTTTATTTTTATTTGGAAGACCATATAATTCTGTGTCAAAAAAAGAATATTAAGTATTACCAAGAATCAAAAATTAATTATAAAATGTTATTTAGAAAAAGACTGAAAAATACCATGCCGAGTAGGTAGGCAGCCCCTTCCAACTTGTGTCGTAGTGAAACCTCAATTTTCAATAATCATTTGTTAATAATTTAGATTTGTTAAAAATGTTATTTACACTGTTTTTATTTATTACAGAATTAGATGATCTTCCAAATAAAAAAAGAATTGACGATTTATCTTCATTTTTTCAAATATTATTAATTATTTAAATAATTTTTATTATTAATTATTAATTTAACACCCGTTTAATAGAAATAGTTCATATAGGGCTCGTTGGATGCGGATTTTGATAAACATTCTAATGGTGTTTTTAAAATTACTCTAATTTTATTTTTTCGTAAAATATTTCATTTTTTATTAACTTTTGTTAGTTAAATAATTAATATCTCGAAAACAAAAAATAATGCCATCTCAAAAATTTAACCATCAATTTATTATGACTTAAACAATATTCATGATTTTTTTTCGCGCTTCTAAATGAGGGAAAACATGTTTAAAAATTATAAACAAATTGTTTAAAAATAAATATTTTTTTTTAAAATAAATTTTTTTCTAAAAGTTTAAGATCTTCCGCGTAAAAAACATTTACAACATTTTTCTCTATTTTTAATAGGAAAAAAGTTATAAGTAATGCAAAAAAATATTGCTCAAATTTGTTATTGTAAATATCTCGAAAAATATTAAAAATTTCAAATTCAAAATTTGTACACTTATTTAGCACCACTATCACTACAATTTACCGAATTTTGAAAAAATCTGAAACATCACTCCGTATTCTCATATGAAATGCCTCTTATATCATAATATTTTTGTTTAAAACGTTTTCTTTGGAATTTCTTCTATATTTCATATCATTATTTTCTTTTCAATGTTTTTCTTCTTCAAATAATAATAATAAGAAATAATCTTTAATTTAAAAAGAAATTATTTAAAAAAATAAAATTTTCTTGGAACAAACAGAAGGGCTAATTACATAAAGAGAGGATGATTTTTCACTGAATAAAATCATCATTTAGAAATGTTAATTATATTGAAAAAAATACACAGGTAAAAGAACAATTTTCACCTATAATGGAAAAAGAAGTTTATTTCAACAAAAATAAAAAAAAGACCGAGAGAAAAAAAATTAACGATCCGCAAAGAATAGAAATATCAATTATCCTTTTGAATGCTTAAAAAGAAGAATGACGAACGCAAGGACAAAAAAAACCCCCCGAATGGTTTCATCGTTTGGAAGAAGAGAAAAATGACACACAAAGTTTGCTTTGTTTTTACAATATCCCAAATATCAATCTGTTTTTCTGTCAGAAACTTAATTACAATGATGACTTCAGGAAATAAGAGGGAATGTTCGAAGGATTTCTTGATTATTCGTATCGTGGGTCGCCGTGCAGGCTGGCGATGATCGACCCTCCATCCACATGTACACGCATATATGTATGTATGCGTTCCCTTTCTCTTCTGTTCTCTCTCTCTCAAACTTCTTCTTTTTCTTCTTCTTCTCCTCTGGTCCCTCGTATCCTATATCCACCTTTCGCAATCCGTAGGGTTGAGAATGTGGAGATTGTATGCAATGGAAGGATGAGGATAATGATGATGAAAATAAGAAGAAAAAGAATGTTTAAAAAGGGAGGGAAGCTGTCCCGTAAAAGATCTAAGGCCCAACCTCGGTTCTCTCGTTTCGGGGGAGGGGGACTAGATCGACTCGGCTCTGCTTCAAAGCGCCGCCCATTTTTTTATTCCAACCGAGAAGACTTCTGGACCCTTCCGTCCAAAACCCGACCAGTCGAACTTCTCTTGATTCTCAATCGACAAAAGGATTATTAGCTTTTCTGTTCGCCAACAAAAATCTCAAAGAACGTAATAACATCATCTCCATGAACTTCTTTATTTAAAAACTTTCTACCGCTGCATTCTTCGCCTGAAAGACATCGTTTATCCCTTCAATAAACTGATTCTTGATTTATTAATTTTTATTTGATATAATGATAAATATTATTATTATTAATATTATTATTATTATTATTACTTTTATTATCTTTATTGTTACCATTTTTTGTTATTGGAATATTTTTAAATATTTGAAGTTTTATTTTCTTTGAACATAAAATATGTATTTTCTAAAAGCTTTTTAAAGTAATTTTAATAAACAGTTAAATTTTTTTTAATAATTCATTTCGTCTGCTCTTAAATATATATTGAAATATTTTTTAAAAATATCTTACATTTTTATATGATGGAAAAAATTTCTTATCATAGTTACACTGAAAAAAAATTTATTGAATTCAAATAATTGCAGAGCTACTTGCACTGTTAATTTGAAAGTATCAAATTGCAATGAATTGATACTAATATTTGGATCAAATAATAATAATAAATAAATAATTTGATCAAAATATTTGGCATCCATTTGATCCAATTCGGTATTATAAATTGGTACCTTCAAGAAAACATTGTGAATTATCAAATAAATATATATTTATTAGAAGCAAATCATTTTTATTTGAATTAAATAAATTGTATTTGAACCATTAATTTCTTTATTTGAAACAAGTACCATTTAATTGTCTCAAATAATAATTTTTTAATACAAATAAAAATTTATTTGATACAATATAGTTAAGTAACCGATTATTTGAATCAATTAAATTTTTTTTCATTGTATCTTTAAGTACTTAAATGTATATTTAAAAAAATATTTTATAGAACATTTTTAAATATTTTGAAATATTATTATATAATACATATTACATTTCTTAAAGTATTTTCTGTAGAATTTTGTACTCTCTAAATTTAAATTATAGTGAAAATTTGTTGAATAATTCAAATAAGTACAAATTTTCACTAATTTTTAGTAAAATATTACTATTTGATTTAGTAGCACATATTTTTTTCACTAAAGTTGTAGTAAAAAATGAATAAAAATTTGTAGGAATTTTCACTAATTCAAATTTATAGAGTATTTTAATTAAACAATAATAATAATAATTAATATAATCAATTCTATAATA